TAATATTTTAGAAAAATTGTGTCCATCGTTCTTCAGTGCTTGGTGCTGGCGCCGACCCGCGAGCTGGCTCAGCAGGTGCAACAGGTGGCTGCTGAATACGGCAGGGCCTCCCGTCTCAAGAGCACCTGCATCTACGGTGGTGCGCCCAAGGGACCACAAATCAGGGACCTTGAGAGGGGTATGCTGACTTAATCATTTCTCACTATGTAGATATTAGTCTTTTCATGTGACTCATCTCTGCCATCAGTCATTGATTTTATGATAAAATATTTTATTGCTTTTATTTTAAATATATCATACTATATTTACTTTTTAGGTGTAGAGATTTGCATTGCTACCCCAGGTCGTCTCATTGACTTTCTGGAGTGTGGTAAGACTAATTTGCGTCGTTGTACCTATCTGGTGCTGGATGAAGCAGACCGCATGCTGGACATGGGATTTGAACCTCAGATCCGCAAGATAGTGGAACAAATTCGGGTAGGTTGTGTTATTTTCTGACCCTTGGGCGATCATTGATAGTCTCATTGGTTTGATCTCACACTAAAGTAAACATACAAACATTTCTATAACCTGGCTGCTTTATTCATGACACATTTTTAGGAATGAAATACATAGCCATTCAAGTTCACCAAATCACCTGTGACCAATACTCGTAGTTCAGAACTCACCAAGATTATTGATACAATATATTGGACTGGTTAATTTAATTATTTAACCGATAAATACTTTCAAGCCGCATCCTTTTTGTCCCAACAGCCAGATCGTCAGACCCTGATGTGGAGCGCCACCTGGCCTAAGGAAGTTCGCCAGCTGGCTGAGGACTTCCTGAAGGACTATGTTCAGATCAACGTTGGGGCACTGCAGCTCAGTGCCAACCACAACATCCTGCAGATAGTTGATGTTTGCAATGACATGGAGAAGGAGGACAAGTGAGTGAAGGATCCCTATCTCTTTTATTAGTGTGATGGGGGGAGGAAAACCTTCTATTAGTCCTCTTCTCTGAAAATCTTGTTTCATAGTCACATAGTTAAAGAACAAATTGTTTATTTAATCTTACTTCAGTGTTTGACTGTAATGCATCAGTAGAAACATAAGGTTCATTTTGTGAAAAAAATATTTGTTGTCTTATCTTCTATCTCTTCTGTATCAGACTGATCCGTTTGCTGGAGGAGATAATGAGTGAAAAGGAGAACAAGACTATTATATTTGTGGAGACCAAAAGGCGTTGTGATGAGCTCACCAGGAGGATGAGAAGAGATGGGTAAGGATCTCCTCTTTCATCCACTTAAATAAATATACTTTTTAATTCTGCTGTTTATCTGGACAGGTAACATTCAGGCTATTCCCAATGATAACTTGTCTCTTACTTATTGTTCGATAGTGTTTAATGTCCAATATGTCTGTCACAGGTGGCCAGCAATGGGAATTCATGGAGACAAGAGCCAGCAGGAGAGGGACTGGGTCCTTAATGGTGAGATGCAATAAATAACTTGGCAGGTTACAATTAAAAAATAACAGCGTTAAATAATCCTTCTCACAAGCTGCTCTGTATTTAAATTAAATACTGTCCCTCTCCCTTCAGAGTTCAGATATGGCAAAGCTCCAATCCTCATCGCCACCGATGTGGCCTCCCGTGGCTTGGGTCAGTATGACATTGAGTATTACCACTTTTTTTTATCAGTGTTACACTTTTTTTTAAAGAAAGTTGGTTTGCTTTCTTTAACTTTTCTATGCATTTTCTGAGTTTTTCTCACCTTAAGGTGCAGTCTTTGTGGCAGGCGCTAGGCATGACAGTCCCAGGCCTCGAGAGGGAGAAGGATGACATATTGGAAGTGCTCAACTGGCTTGCCACCCAGTGGGCCTAGAGAGGTGAAAGCTCTGTGTGCCAGTGATCTTCAAAAGGCTGTGTGGCTAAGCCTTTGTCACTGATATGGTGTTGACACACACATCTGTTCTCTGTCCATGGATTTCACCTGACAAATGCCATCCAGCTGTTTCCAACTCAAACCTAAAAGAAAAAATATATATATCCTTTGTCGTGACTTTTGCCTTGCATGCTTTTGTGTTAGAGAGCGCTGTATTGCAAGTCACTTGTTTGAGATTTGGAACAATAGTTACCTTTCGGAGCTTGTATAACATAGCATGGGTAAGCTTTCAGTTGTTTTCTTTCCCATCAAAGTGCTGGATGTTCTTGAAATGGAGAGAGCAGTTTGAAATATTGTATTTGTCTCTGAAAATTGATGAGACCTGGCACATGTGTTTAGGGGGTAGTGGGAACTTCTAGTGAGAGGAAAAAGAGTGAGACAGCTCAAACCAAAGTTCCTCCCTCGCCTGCGTTTTAAAGTCATGTCGAGACCTGCCAACGAGAGACATTTTCTCAAGTGAACACTGGCTTCTTGGAAGATCTTGCCTTGATGAGACTGATGAAGGGGGCAGGGGGAATTCTTCCGTGCTCGGTGAGGGGTCCCACAGGGTTCAATGCTTGGGCCTTTGTCATTTTTTTTGAAGGGGCCCCTGTTCAAATTAGAACTTGGTCTATTTTATCTTGGCAAGACTTGCAGTGCGGCCTTTAATATCAAGCTTCTTTTGAGAGTGTACTGGGAAAAATGGACCTGCAAAAATGTACCACTGAATGGTCCTATATTGGCACATGAGGAGGCCCCAGTGCACATCGAGGCCCAACTGCGTAGAAGCTCCTGGATGTCACTTGACAATTTGTGGGGGATTTCGCTGCATTGGGAAAGGACTAGTGAATGCATACTCCTTTATGGTAAGACTTAAATCCATTGTTTTTCTCCCTTGGTTAACAAAAGGGAGAGTGAATGTCTTTTGGATCTTTTTGATTATGGTAAGCAATTGGAGTGTGCATCGTTTCTCTCTTCCCACAGTAGTATTCCCATGGAGTAGATGTATACACAATCTTATGTTGTATTAACACTTTTCCCTCCACAGCCTAACGACCGTTTTTTCTTCCCCCAGCTTTCACAGTTGCTAACTTTTCCCTTTGATCTGGCTGTTGTGGTGTGCAAAATCCTTTGTGGCCTCCATGTTTTGTTTTGCCACACTGCAACACTTTCACAGATGTGGAGGATGTGAAATTTGTCATCAATTATGACTATCCTAACTCCTCCGAGGATTATATCCACCGCATTGGACGCACAGCCCGGAGTCAAAAAACGGGCACAGCCTACACCTTTTTCACCCCTAACAACATGAAACAAGCCAGTGACCTGATAGCTGTGCTGCGCGAGGCCAACCAGGCCATTAACCCCAAGCTGATCCAAATGGCAGAGGACAGAGGAGGTAACATTTAAAACTTTATTAATGGTTTTCAAGGAAGATGTAGTATATTTTTAGTCAGTGAGAATTGGTATTTAGTCTCAACTTTATGTCACTGATTTATATTGTATGCATCTTTATTTAGAATGTGTATCCATGAACACTGACAAACTGTAAATGACCCCTTTTTTGAATAATTGAGATTCTTCTTGTTTTATCTTCCACTGTCCTGTTTCTATCTCATGCAGGTCGTGGAAGGGGTGGAAGAGGTGGCTACAAGGATGACCGTCGGGATAGGTATTCTGGGGGTGGGAGGAGTAACTTCGGAGGTACTAGCTACAGGGACGGGGATAGAGGGTTTGGCGGTGGGCCGAAGAGTGCCTTTGGTGGTAATAAGGCCCAAAATGGTGGCAGCTATGGAGGCAGTGGTAACTCTAGTGGTAACTATGGAAACAACAACTACAGCAACAGTAATGGACAGGGTAATTTCCCCACAAACCAGGTGGGTGCGTTTGGTAACCAAAGCTTCCAGGGCCCCCCTCAGTTTGGGGGCATGCAGAGGGCTACTCAGAATGGCATGAACCACCCACCATTCCCATTCAACTCTCAGCCACCACCACAGGCCCAACAGCCTCCACCACCACCAATGGTGCCCTATCCCATGCCACCAACCTTCCCACAGTAGATAAGTTATGTGCAGATTAAATTGAACCAACATGATTTTGGTTTGTCTTGAAATATTACACTATTATTATTATTTTTATTATTATTATTATTATCCTTTGTACTGTTTCACTTTGTTTTGCTTACAGCAGGGTTGGAATTATCCAGTAAACCCAGAGCATTATTTTGGAGTCATAAAAACAAATCTCCTAATGTGCAATTATGCACTGTTTTTTGTTACATTCCTCAGTAATTTATTTTTACTAGGTAATGCTGTGTTTTCAGTTTTCAGTCGTGTGTTTTAATAGTGATGTTATGAAGATCATTTAAAAAGGGTAAGTGTGACCCTTTTAAATAAAAAGAAGAAAATGGGACCTGTGTGTTGTGTTTACTGTGTTGGAAGGTTGGGTTGATAGAACTATTACAACGCAAAAGTCACTTTGCAGGTGTACTAATATTGCGATTCTTCCTTTTTCAACCCACCTGAATGCAAAAGTGCATATTACGCTAGGACTTTAGTTCAGGGCTGCAGTTACCACCAGTGTTACCAGGACAATGAGGTAATCTCCCCCTTGGATATGTGATGGCTAGTTGCAATGTTAACATTTCTATCTTTAAATGATTACTTAAATGTATCCTTCAACTTTTAAAAACAACTAAACATAAATTAAGAATTTCCTCAACAGCACTTTATCCAAGTCAAGGGAGAAAAGACTTAACATTTTTTATAAGACAACACTGAAGAAGTGAAAAAACAATCTGTAATTTGTTTAATCACAGTATGTGTGTTACGGTGTATATCCAACATAATATAAAGAAAACTAGCCAAGCAATTCATATAGACATTTATATTAATGTTCTTAAGGACATTCACATTATAATGAACTGCATCTTTATAGCACTATGATTTTACAAATATCTAAATGTTTTCGATACATTTATTTTTGACCTATGATGCATATATTTTTGCATATTATTTATTAAACCATATTTTTGTGGACACAGTACTCTTTTCCAATAACAAAAAAAACACCTTCTGAAAGAATGTTCCATAACCCGGATGTAATATGTCACTTCCGGCCCGGGTCATCGATCACATGTACCTCCTGTGAATTTCAAAAATGTATCATGCGGCTATCTTTGTGTATTTACTGTGACAACAGTAATTAGAAACTGTCCGGTGAGTGCATGTTATTGTAAATGCACCGACATGCTCTGATAGTTTGATGTGTGCAACGTTAGCATGCATGCCGTTAGCTTAGCTAAAGTAACGCTGACCGGACGGAGGATCTCATTGATCATATTGGGTTCAACAAAAACAAATAACTTTTTATGTTTTAAGAACGGTTACTTGCTAGATTTAGGTCTAGCGATTATAGAAAATAAATATTTATATAACATTGGCATTTAAGTTTTATTTCGACTGTCTGTGGTCTTTCAGGAGGGGTTTACTCATGAGAAGTCATCACTGCAATAGACACTCTTTGGATTAACCCCTCTCAACCTTCTCATCATGTTATATTGCTGTGTCAGAAACGTTTGCAAATTGAAACCCTCACCGTGCAGAGTAACCTTGGCTCTGCAACACACCAGGAGACTCTGCAGTTCACCCCCTGGGGAGGCTGTGGATCAAGTGAGGACTTTGCTGGAGCTCTGTGTGGACAGGCACTATGTTTCACCGGGTCAGCCTAACACGGAGCTCCTTCAGCGGGGGATGAGCTGCTGTTATGGGCCTCTGGGCATGGAGCTGAGGAGAAACCTGCTGCAGCAGTGGTGGCTCTCTGTGACCGGATCCACACAGCAGGTGTTTGGGATAAACACTCTGAGCAGCAGTAAGGGTACAGCAACAGATGGATTGAGGATTGTTGAGAGTGAACAGTTAAAACACATACTTGGACAGAAAGAACTGAGCAACCAGCAGCTCCTGCAGAAGATACAAACACTCATCCAGAGGTCCCCTTCACTGAGGACAGGCTTTCTTCAAGGTAGAGTTCTGCAGAACATATTCCACAGAGATTCACTCTTTGATTATTATATCTTTGCAACTTCATGTATGGGGAAGTTTGAGTAGTAAAATGATTTCAACGTAATAAAAACAATTCTCACGCAACTTTACATAACCAAGTGATGGTGGTTTTTAGGGGGGGAAACCGTGACAATACCAAGATATAAGACAGATGATGCATTCAATTTACTAATTATCCAAATAAAGCTGGACAATATTTTGGCAGATTGGACTCAAGACAGTTAATTGTAATCATCATCTTCACTATTAACACAAGAGCTTTGAGTACATATATATCGGTTGTTTTTCCCAGTAGCCATCAATTTATGTGGTTTAAATTGTCTTAACCTTTTCTCTATTATCTTCTAGTTATGGACATGCCTAAGAAAACGATGATGATTACAAAATATTACACCAGTCATCTTGTAATGGGATAAAAAGATAAAGCAGCATTACCTTTTAACAAAACAATGAAACTCCTGTTTTCCACCTTGATCATTTACTTTGTTGGAGTAAGAAGTAAAATATGTTTAATAAAAAAAACAACCCCAGTTAAGTACGTGTTTTTTTCTCAGGTGCCTTGGAGCAATTTGTCCCCTCGTTGGAGCTGGTGAACAGGAAGCTGCCCTTCGGCCTGGCTGAGACTGGGCTGTGCTTTCAGCCCTCAGATGGCTCTGGTTGGTGAGGCTTCATCTACTGTCTGTCTCTCTGTCTGTCTGCATGTCTGTTGGTGTGTGGACACGTATACTTGTTCAAAGGATATTCTTGCTCTACACATATTCCAGTTGGGATTTTGAAACCCTTAATTCTAAGTATTGCTTGACAAGTTGATGTTATTATCACCTATATGTTATATGAAGACAAGTATTTGTTCATAACCAAAATAATCTGCCTTAATTTGAAAACGTATTTATTTGTGCTATATTTCACAAAAGTATACTCTTTAATACAGTAAACTGCTAAAATATGGGTCCCAAAGTATTATAATGAAAACATTTTTTCCCGCCAGCCCAGCTGAGGTGACCCAGGCGTCTCTGGTTTGGTTCTGCCCTCCTCGAACCTCTTCTCAGTGGCTGGATCACTGGAACCGACAGAGACTCAAGTGGTGGAGGAAAGTGAGTATTGTTAAATATGAGTATATCAGAGGAATCAATCGAAACAGAACCTTATCGTGTCTAAGATACGCACACATTATTCAAATGTTGAAAACATGACGTATTCTCATGTTTTACTGATTTACTTGGATAAGAATAAATCTACAATCACATGGTGGTTATACTGTATAATATTTGTCAAAATTGTGTCTTAAAAATATCTAAATATCTTTTGACCCCATCATTGATACTTAATATTATAGCTTTAAGATACTGTATACTCACTGATGGTCCTACGATGCCCCATACCACAACATTTCTCCCAAGAAAGCTCCTGATGTTTGAGTCAAAGAATTGAACATCAATAAGTTTGTATTATTAAGTCACTCCTACTTAAAGTCAATATGCTAACTTCAGCTCATGACCTTGTCTTTCCAGTTTTCCCTGTCTCCATCAGACTTCAGCAGTAGTGATGTCCCAGAGGAGGAACTGGAGGAGGCGGCGTCTCGTGGTGTGAGGATCCTCTACAGGTTCCCGTGGGGACAGGAGCCTGTGGAGACGCTGTGGAGCAGAGGAAGCACCGAGCTGCTGCACACACACAACGGAGTCCGCGCCAAACTGCAGGTCAGTTTGCTACCTCTTTTTAAGTGTCCTTCTCCAGTTTAAAGCCACTGTTTTTAACTATGTGTACTGATTTTTTTTTAACCTTTATCAATGGACAATGTTATTTTTTAGAATCTTCTCTTTTAACCTTTGTTCTAGGCTATAGGGGTCAACAAACCTCCCCGAAATGAAGTGTCTCCCATAAATATCTGACACTTCCCTTCATATAGCTTTTTTACAGAAGACATTTTTAATTCAGGAAAAACATAGGTGTGATTATTGATATTATTAATGACGGTAACACCTTTGGCTATCAGGCTACATCTAATGTGTTATCAAAGCTCGTACACACAAGAAACTATTCCCTTCTAGTGTTGCCTTTCCTCAGTGTAATCACATACAGTGTTAATTCTCTTTCTAAACATGTTACAGTGCCGAGATGGTCGGAAATCAGTCCCTCACGTCATCTCAGTAACTGGGAACATGGACCGCGGTGTAATGGCCTTTCTATCCAACTCACTCCAGCAGCTGAAGAAAGAAGACAGCAAGAAGAAGATGCTGCAGCGAAAGGTGATAAACAAGAGCTGACACAGCCTGTTAAATAAGAACAGTTATCAGGATGTTTATAGCTCACTTTTATGTTGTGGTTTTCTGTGTTTCTGAATTTTGGTTCACTGTTAATTTCAGGTTCTCAAGTTGCACCCAGTGTTGGCTCCAATTAAAGTGGCTTTAGACATTGGCAGGGGGGCCACTGTCGAGCTGCGACAGGTAAGAAAAACATGTCTTGGACTCACAGATAAGTTATTTTTTATCTTGATTAAATGTTTATATATAAATATGTATACACACCTGAAAGGGCTCGGTACAAATTATATTTTTTGTGATTGATATAATCAGCACTGAAGTATTTAATACAACTTGCTTGTATTGTAGGAAATAGAGGAACTATATTTAATCAGTGTTTGATTTTTTTTGTAGGTTTGTGATGGGCTGCTGCAGGAGTTTATAGAGGCTAATATTTCTACGTGGCCTGGGTATCTTCAAACAATGCCAACATCAATGGAGCAGCTGAACACAAAGTAAAGTGCAAATCAGTATCTAAATTGATCATAAGGTGCAAATTATCATTGTATCAGTGGACTAATCTGATTCTCTGTTGATGCATTTTAGGTATGATGAGATGGGAGTGCTTTTCACGGTGGTGATCAATGAGAACACGCTGGAGAGTGGCCTTGTTCTGGTCCGCAGCAGAGACACCACCATCAAAGAGACCAAGCACATCTCTGAAATCAAGAGCTTTCTCTCCACATACATTTCTGCTGCAGACAACCTCTGAATAGACTTTTTGTTATGGCAACAGGAAGGAAAGTCTGAACATTGTGCTGCTTTAGTTTTGAATCTCCTGCAGTTCAATTCAGGCTTTGTTGGAAGTTCCATGTGACTCGTATAGGAATTGTTGGAGATTTGGAATAAATGTTAAGTCAGTTTATTTCTGTCTCATTTTAAGCATTAAAGGATTCAGAATGTCCCTTAAATGTTTGACTTTTTTGTTGGGATTGTCCTTGTGCTCTTGTCCTTGTTGTGTTGTAGATTAGTTGAGTAACCTTGAGATTAAGATAATTCTGGAAGAACACATGAATCCCACCTCTACGTCTATATTATAGCTGTTCATGAATCATAATCTTTCAATCATATTACACCATCATCATATTTAACACTTATTAAACTGTTGCAACACAGACTTTTAGGAGGATATTAGGTAAAATATGCAATTATAGTCACATCAAGACAACTAGATAGTTCATTGATCCATACATGAAGCTGCATCCTGGCTTATGTCATAATGAGTACTTCCTCCCCTGCTGTTTTTCATTATAACTTTGGAGTTTAAGTTATTATAGAGGATAATAAGCTTATGAGTGTTCTTTAATATATTGTATTATTGGGGATTGTTTTGTATATCACTTGCAGCCTTTAAGTGCATTAAAAATGAAAAGTAGTTGGGAAAACCTCTAACAGATGTTCCCTAGGAGCAACCGTGGATGTATGAAGAGAGCAGTCTGCAACGTTGAGTGGACATGAAGACACATAAGGTTAAATCTCGCGAGGTTTGGACGTAGCTTCGCCCCTCCCTGTGCAGTCATTGGTCGCTCCCTGGTTCTACTTCTGACTGAGCATGTGTATGTGCCGCTTAGCTGTTAGCATTTAGAGATGGCCGCAGACAAGCAAAACGACACGAAAGTGTCCTCCCTTGATGAAAATAAAAACAAATCAGCGGATGGAGGAATTGGACTGGAAAGTATCCTTTGTAACAGCGGACGTGTAGCGGCGGTTTTGTATTTGCTCTGGATGATCTGTGTCTCAGAAGCTAACGGTAGCATGCTAGCTAGCTCTGTGTGAGGATAACGTTAGCTAAGGCTACGTGTCACACTGAAGCAGGCTGTCAGTGGCAGGTTTAAAAAGCAGATTAAATTGGGTTGTTACACACTTATGTTTACGTCTAATGAAGTTCAATCATGGATGCATTTAAATGAATGAGGGCTACTTTAGACATGTTATATACATGTAACGTTAACAGATGCTTTTGAGTTTCAGAAGCTGCTACGTTGATTTTCTGCAACAAATCAGCATCACAGTCATTCTGAATCTGTACTATACACTGTACAAAGAAATATGGCTGTAATATACATACTTGATTATGAATGACAGATGTTAAGCTAGAGTACCATGTCTGTTTGTGTGATGATGTAGAGAATGTTGTCCCTTAACATTGATTTGCAGTTTTGCAAATAATCAAGGAGTCCCAGCAGCAGCATGGCCTCAGGCACGGAGACTACCAGAGATACAGGTGAGCTCTGCCCAGTCGTACTACATGTCAACAGGCTGCAACAACTGGACTAGAGATGCCTGTGGTTAACTCTCTTATATTGCATGGCTGTCCACAAAGAGGTGCACAGGACTTCACAGTTTAAAATATATACTTAGTGACCTGGGACTACGTATTCCCTGAATATATAAATGTATGACAGTATTTCATGTTAAATAAACAATCTCTTGTGTTATACATTGAGACAAGGCACCTCTGTCAATGTCTACTAAATATGCACACTCTGAGAATAACAAATCTTCCTAAGACAATTAAGGATGATAGATTTTTAAAGAAAACTATGAAACCAAGTTGGAGAAAATGAACTGGCTGTGTGGACCATGAAGAACATGTAAATGTGCTCCATTTAATGTAATGTAACCATCTTTGTGTACATTTTTTCAGGGGTTACTGCTCCCGCAGACTGCGCCGCCTGCGCAAGACTCTTGGCTTCAAGATGGGCAACCGACACAAGTTTATTGGGAAGAAAATAACTGTTGAAATGATTTCTGACAGCAGGTGAGTCAGTGGAGAGTTTTTGAACTGTTGCAGTTAACTGGCTGATGAGCCTTATATACAGATCATAAAAGATTGACATGTGTTTGATGCAGGATAATAAATGCACCTCACAGATGAGCTCGGCCAGTTCCTAACAAAAGTATCTGCACAACACTTGAGTCCTACCTAGTTATGTACACCTCTCGGCTAAACCACAGAAGTAAACCTTGAAAAAAAAGTTTTTGTTGCTGAATTTAAATACTTGACTCCTAAAAAAAATTGTGAGGAATTCAATGTGTCCACTTTAAATGGAAATATGTGACCTAACACCTGATGCAATGTCCTCCCCCTCTTCAGGTATCTTTTGCTAGTTTTGATGGAGGCAGAGCGTGCATGGAGTTACGCCATGCAGCTGAAGCAGGAGGCCAACACGGAGCCACGTAAGCGCTTCCACCTGATGGCACGACTTCGCAAGGCTGCCAAGCACAGCGAAAGGCTGGAGAAGCTCTGTGAGAGCCCCCGTGTCGATGCTAAGACCAAACTTGAGGCACAGGTATACAGAACCTCTTGAACCTTCTTTGAGGGGTGCAGTTGAATGTGCATTGTAAACAGAGACCACATATATATGCCATGATAATGCAGCCTTAAAGATACCAAAGTCTTTTCAGCCTTTCTCACATTGTCTATCAACTCAATACCACATTTTTAAGCTGGTTGTCACGATGTATTACACAAAAGTATTAAAGCCGTTTTTTCATATGAACATTGTCCAAATAATGGTACTATGAGCAGCTCTATTCGCACAATCAGACATTCCAAAGACTTAGGAGCTGGAAGGACAAGTACTTTTGATTATGGTTCTAATAATTCAGAAATTTCGGTTCTCAGATACAGCTCCTAGGTAATGTCTAGATAATTTCAGGGTTGCCGTGCATGTGTAAAAAGAGGATATACATTGTTAATACCTACAGTAGAATTTAGAAGTTAAAGCTGTGTTACAGGAAGCAAAACACATATTTGTATGTTCTAACAGCCACTAACAATGTGCATGTATATTATTCAGGCCTACACTGCATACCTGACTGGTATGGTGGAGTTTGAACTTCAGGAGTGGAAGCTTGCCATGGAGGCCTTCAACAAGTGCAAGTGAGTTAAAACATCACTACAGTTCTTTTTAACAAAATGACAAAGATAAGTAGTGTTATTTGTCATGTATGCATTTTACATGACCTTTTTTACAAACATTTGACAACCTTTTTTTTCTTGCCAGGACCATCTATGAGAAGCTGGCCAGTGCTTTCACTGAGGAGCTGGCAGTGCTGTATCGCCAGCGTGTGGACGAGATATCCCCCAACATCCGCTACTGTGCTTACAACATTGGTGAGTAACGCACACAACGCAGTATCCCCCTCGACATAATTGACTGCCATCTTAAAATTATCAACATACCGTGAGACATTTTTTACAAATGTCCCAAAGCTCAAATCACACCATCCTCTCTCTTCAACACCATGTAACTGGATTATTTTTCCTTTGCTGATTGAAGGTGACCAGAACGCCATCAATGACTTGATGCAGATGCGACTGACTGGTGGAGGAGGAGGCATGATGGCCGAGAAACTAGAGGTAAACAAACAGTACATTATTATTTCTGCTTGTACCATGATTCATCTTGTATTGGTGAGGCCTTATCCAATGTAACGTGTGAAACACACTCACAATCCTCAACTATCCATGTGTGTATATATAATTGTTATTTTTGAACAAGCTCGAATATTCAAAGACCTTCTCTCATGTAGATCAGAAAATCAATGTTTAAGTCAAAACAAACCTTTTTTTTATATTATTCTCCTCAGGCCCTGATCACTCAAGCGAGAACCAAGCAGGCCGCCACGATGAGTGAGGTGGAGTGGCGAGGGCGGTCGGTGCCCGTCAAGATCGACAAGGCCCGGGTCTTCCTGTTGGGTCTGGCAGACAACGAGGCGGCCATCGCTCAGGTCAGAATTTATAGTTACTGAGTGAACGGGTTAAATACAAAGTTTAGACCATGTTGTTGTTGTTGTTGGCTACTCCATATAATTACATGTCAGCACTTTAAGAAAATGGTGGTTAGTTATTTATGGTTTGTGGGATTTTTAATAGAACATATGTGCAGGATGTCCGACGTTGCACTTATGTCGTTTCTCACTGACCAATCAGGTGTCTGCAGTGTTTTAATATCTACTTGTAGTTATGGCTCAATTTGCTTTAAATCTACATCATATCCTCAACTTCTTCCAAGGTGGCTTCAGTTGAGCAGAGCCCTGCAGAACCAAGCATTGGAAAATAAATTGGTCACAAATGATAGGTCAACTCCAGCACTAATGTCTAGCTTAATGTGAAATCTTCATCTTTCACAGTGCTTAAATGGCAGTATTTTGAGTTTAATCAGATAATGGTCACTGAAAAGATCATCCCTTTTTTTTCAGATGTTCCACTTATTCTGGATGAAGCAATATCCTTAACTCTGCATTTTTTTGTTTTGTTTATTAAGACCAATGTTCCATTACTTGTAGTTACCTGTGATACAAGTGTCATCCACTACTATCCCAGTGTGCATACTTTCCAGGGTTACGTGTCAATCATACTTGGCTTCAGATGAAAATAGTCAAACTGTCATTATGGCCTAAGTTTAAGCAGAACACCTCCTCCTTGGCCAGTCCATGCAGTTCCTCAGACATTCAGAGGGCGGCACTCTCCTCTTTACAGTCTCTTGTGTCGCCCTCACTGCCACCACGGCTCAACCCTCCTGATTTAACGGCAGAAGGCTCAGCACGCCCTGCGGACATACCTGTCACACCCTCAGCCACTCAGGTCTCTGGCATGTAGCCTCTCTCATCGCACGACTGCATTCTGTGCATTTCAGCCCACACATGAATACTGAGGCTACACCCACCAGGTCCCTGTGGACAGATTAGTATTATCACCTCTAAACCCCATTCAGTTTCAAATGTGCCCCTTTGGGACTTAACTGTAGGCCTTTGTTAAGCGAAAAGCGGTGGTAACTTAATGTGTGGAAAGCCACTTTAAAGCTGAAATACCCCAGTTTTTTCTCAATATTATATGACTTAATAAAACAGCATCCTCATCAACTAACTTTAAGGGTAAAAAATAAGATGTGTTATTGATTGCTCAA